AAAATGATCCGATCATGCCGTGAGTTTATATGCACCAAGTATTCAATCAAATTAAATAGGTTGAGCATGCGCAGAGTTTTCTTTCCCAGAAACAAAATAGTAAACAAGGATTATGAAATGAAATTAAATGAAAAATGTAAAAACAGAAAAAGGCAACTCTTCCTGCTTTCCTGATTAATTTATTCAATTGAGTGTTTTTATTTTGCTCATAGAAGTTACGTTTTCTTCAGTGAATAACTGCAGGTTTATGCTTTGCTGTGTTTTATTGTTGACAATATTAAAGTAAGGGAGGGTTATCTTTGTCTCTGCCACTTGATCAGCTGGTCGGCGGGTCTGACGTGACGGCTGTGGAGGGGGTTCAGACTCATGTTTTATTACAGAGCTCCGTTGTGGTTTATTATTAATAAAATGTGACAGTCATCTGAAACTGCTGAAAAAAATATGTTCAAACTAAATAACGTGGAAGCCTATGTTCATCATGTGTTCATAAACGAATCGCATCTCATCGGCGTTAACGTGCTTTTACACAGATAGTTGCCCAGAATAATTAACTGAGGGTGTTTTTCTCCTCAACATCGGTCTCCTTGAACTCAAACCAGGTGTGTTTAACCAATGTTACCCTGTCTTCTTTACAGCACGCCTCCATCCACCTGCTGCAAAAACAGCTGCTGCTTCACAGAAACGGGGATCTGTGCTGCAAACCCGAAGTGAATCTGTGTGTTTCCAGTAGAGACTTGGACGAGTTTATCGAATGATTTGTGCAATAATCAGATTTTTCTTTAACTTCCACAAAATGCAACCTCTGGATTAGATATTACAGAAACGGGAACGGCTTGCCATCATATTTAAAAGCTGGCGCTCGTTAATTAGGCCGTCATTTTTTAAGTCAGGTAGTCTAAATGAGGACGGGGAGGCTCGCTAGCTGTTGCACACATGCACAGTGGGAATTATTTTTCTCCAACAATCCGAATGGCTGTGTACATGCATGTCAATCAGAATGATCGGAGTTTCTCAATCTGATTGAAAATTTCTTCTGATTGGGCCAAATTGGATCCGAATCAGATCTGACATGTTTACATGCAGTTTTTGATCTGATTGGGTGTTCAGACCAATTAATTGTGTGCATGTAAATGTGGCTATTGTGCCATCAAAAACATAAAGAGAGCCGAAGATATCTAGTGGCAGACACGGAACAGCTTGAAGAATACCTCGTGGAAAAACTCTAAAAATATGAATGGTTTATGGAGGAGAATGAAGGACAAATTTGTCTGTTAAAAAGTCTCTGAAATAAAAAAAAACACAATATAAACGTAATAATAAATACACTATCTTGACCCGGATTCATCTCTTATCTCTATTAAGGTAGTGCGACTCAGGGTTGCGAATGACCACAGTCACCAATTCTTATCATGTGTCTTGCCCATGTATGTCTGATCTCTGAATTATGTGTACTGAAACTTTAATTTTCCCTCTGGGATTAATAAAGTATTTTTAATTTGATTGATTGATTTGATACATGACAGGACAGCGCAGCACCCTCTGTTGAGGGGAATTGCTTTGCAACACTCCCCAGGAGACGGAGAAGTCTGAGAGCAAAATGTCTGTCTGTGCGTGTGTCTCTCCCTCATGGCACTGAGGGAAGAGTATTAATTAGGCTTAAGTCATGTTTCTCTGACACATGTTCCTCATACCAAAAACCAGTTTTCTTTTCCGGGGATCGGACCGCCAAGGCTCCCGCCTTGGTCTGCCACCCGATCCACATTGCACCGGACCCTTCATGTTCCTCCTGCGGGTGGTGGGTCCACAGTTGGATGAGCCCATATATCTGGTTCGGGCTGGGCCCGGCCGGGCCCCATGGGTGAAAGCCCAGCCACCAGGCGCTCGCTCACGGGCCCCAACCCCAGGCCTGGCTCGATGGTGGGACCCCGGTAACCCTCCGGGCCGGGTACTCCGACTCTTTGACTTTACCTCCATGAAAGATTATCATCTCTTTTGCTGGAGTTGCTCCGGGTGAGAGGCGGAGGGCTGGGGTTGGCTTTTTGTTAGCCCCAAGACTCTCTGCCTGTGTGTTGGGGTTTACCCCGGGGGACGAGAGGGTAACTTCCCTGCGCCTTCGGGTCGGGGAACGGGTCCTGACTGTTGTTTGTGCTTATGGGCCAAATATCAGTTCAGAGTACCCACCCTTTTTGGAGTCCCTGGGACGAGTGCTAGATAGTGCTCCATCAGGGGACTCCATTGTCGAGCTGGGGGACTTCAATGCTCACGTGGGAAATGACAGCTTGACCTGGAGGGGTGTGGATGGGAGGAACGGCCCACCTGATCTGAACTTGAGTGGTGTTTCGTTATTGGACTTCTGTGCAAGCCACAGTTTGGCCATAACGAACACCATGTTCGAACATAAGGATGCCCATCGGTACACTTGGTACCAGGACAGCCTAGGTTGCAGGTCGATGACTTTGTAGTCATATCATCTGACCTGCGGCCGTATGTTTTGGACACCCGAGTGAAGAGAGGAGCGGAGCTGTCAACTGATCACCACCTGGTGGTGAGTTGGATGTCAGATGGCAGGGGAAGATACTGCGTAGACCTGGCAGACCCAAATGCATAGTGAGGGTCTGCTGGGAACGCCTGGCAGAAGAATCTGTTAAGACGGTCTTCAACTCCCACCTCCGGCAGAGCTTTTACCGCGTCCCGAGAGCAGTGGGGGACATTGACTCCGAGTGAGCCTTGTTCCACTCTGCAATTGTTGAGGCGGCTGTTGCTAGCTGTGGTCGTAAGGTGGCCGGTGCCAGTCGTGGTGGCAACCCCCGTACCCGCTGGTGGACACCAGAGTTTTGGGAAGCCGTCAGGCTGAAGAAGGAGGCCTTCAGGGCGTGGCTGGTCTGTGGGTCTCTGGAGGCAGCAGACAGGTACCGGATAGCCAAGCGGGGTGCAGCAGTGGCAGTTGCCGAGGCAAAATCTCGGGCATGGGAGGAGTTTGGTGAGGTCATGGAGAAAGATCGATCAGCTCCAACGAGGTTCTGGCAAACAGTCCGGCACCTCAGGAGAGGAATGCAGCAACTCGCTCACACTGTTTACAGTGGGGATGGGGAGCTGCTGACGTCAACTGGGGCTATAGTTAGACGGTGGAAGGAATTTTTTGAGGAGCTCCTCATTCCCACCTACGCGCATTCTGAGGAGGAACCAGAGCCGGGAGACCTGGGGATGGACTGTCCAATCTCGGGGGCAGAAGTTGCTGAGGTAGTCAAACAACTACACAGCGGCGGAGCCCCGGGGGCGGATAAGGTTCGTCCTGGTTATCTCAAGGCTATGGATGTTGTAGGGCTGTCATGGTTGACACGTCTCTGCAACATTGCGTGGTCATCGGGGGCAGTTCCTGTGGAGTGGCAGACCGGGGTGGTGGTCTCCATCTTTAAGAAGGGTGACCTGAGGGTGTGTTCCAACTATAGGGGGATCACACTCCTCAGCCTCCCTGGAAAGGTCTACTCCAAGGTACTGGAGAGGAGGGTCCGATCGATAGTTGAATCTCAGATGGAGGAGGAGCAATGTGGTTTTCGTCCTGGCCGTGGAACTGTGGACCAGCTCTATACCCTTGCAAGGGTGATGGAGGGGGCATGGGAGTTTGCCCAACCAATCCACATGTGTTTTGTGGATTTGGAGAAGGCTTATGGCCGTGTCCCCAGGGGCACCCTGTGGGGGATGCTCCAGGTGTATGGGGTGGGTGGCTTTCTGTTAAGGGCCATTCAGTCCCTTTACCAGAGGAGCGTGAGTTTGGTCCGCATAGCCGTAAGTTGGACCTGTTCCCGGTGAGGGTTGGACTCTGCCAGGGCTGCCCTTTGTCACCGGTTCTGTTGATTACCTTTACCTTCTAGGCGCAGCCGGGGTGTGGAGTGTGTCGAGTTTGGTGGCAGGAGAATCTCGTCTCTGCTTTTTGCGGATGATGTGGTCCTCCTAGCTTCATCCAGCTCTGACCTTCAGCTCTTGCTGGGTAGGTTCGCGGCCGAGTGTGAAGCGGCTGGGATGAGGATCAGCACCTCCAAATCTGAGACCATGGTTCTCGACCGGAAAAGGGTGGCTCGCCAACTCCGGGTCAGGGGAGAGGTCCTACCTCAAGTGGAGGAGTTTAAGTATCTCGGGGTCTTGTTCACGAGTGAGGGTGAGAGGGATCGGGAGATCGACAGGCGGATTGGTTCAGCATCTGCAGTGATGCGGACGCTGAGCCGATCTGTCGTGGTGAAGAGGGAGCTGAGCCAGAAAGCCAGGCTCTCACCTATGGTCATGAGCTTTGGGTAATGACCGAAAGAACGAGATTGCGATACAAGCGGCCAAAATGAGTTTCCTCCGTAGGATGGCCGGGCTCAGCCTTAGAGATAGGGTGAGGAGCTCGGACATTCGGAAGGGACTCGGAGTAGAACCGCTGCTCCTCCGGATCGAAAGGAGCCAGTTGAGGTGGTTTGGGCATCTGGTCAGGATGCCTCCTGGACGCCTCCCCGGGGAGGTGTTTCGGGCATGTCCTGCCGGCAGGAGGCCCCCGGGTCGACCCAGGACACGTTGGAGAGGTTACATCTCCAATCTGGTCCGGGAACGCCTTGGGGTCCTGCCAGAGGAGCTGGTGGAGAAGGCCAGGGAGAGGACGGTCTGGAGCTCCCTAGTTGGGATGCTGCCCCCGCGACCCGGACCCGGATAAGGAAGACGACGACGATGTTCCTCATAGCAAACATCTGTACAGCAGCATGCAATCTTTGAACCTTCAGATTACAGGAGCACTCAGATCTGACTTCAGATTATTTTATTTTGAACTGGGTCAGCAATGAGTGGACAACTTTTCAGAGGTTTGCAGTTTGTGGATTGCAGAGCTTCAGTTTAGCTAACACTGATTAAAAATGTGCTTCTTCTTCATCATACAGGAAATGGGGCATCAATGTGTTACTTGCTCTGTTTGTACCTATGGTTCCCTCTCAAGAAAATTCTATTTCCCATCAATATTTTTTGTATTACAGGTCAAAAGGGGTTGCAGGTCACAAGTCTTCTAATTTGCCAAGGGCTGTTATGGGTTGGAACGGCTCGGGGCCTAATCATCACTCTTCCAGTTCCCAAACTGGAGGGCATTCCCAAAATAACAGGTATGGTTGAACTGCATCTCCGGAGGTCAAAAGAGAGAGGAAGAAACCGTTTATGAGAGAAAATGACTCTGCAATGCCCGTTATTGAGGTCTCGGTTCACATTTTTCATGTAGCAAAAGGAATCCATGAGAATATTAGCCAGAAGGCAACTCACAAATCATGGTGTGTATATATTCCTGCAGCGTAATTTAAAACTGCCTGGCAGGGTTTTGTTTATCATCCCAAGTAAATGAGGTTGTTGGTTTTCCACTCGCTCAGCCCTCACTTCACTGTCACCCGAACGCCGACTAGCTTATTGAATAATATGTAAATGTCCCACCAACTACAGCTAGCATTATTGCTTCAACAGCCACAGAATTATGATAAATCACTGCTATTAACAGTTTTTGACATATGATGCAAAGCTAGGTTCAAGTCATTTTCAGTTCACACAGTTCAAATTGCAAACTTGCATAACACTCATGCTGAATTGATGTGACCTGGTGCCAGTTCTGTGTGGAAGCAGAGCCTACTTTCTGTCTGGATCACAAATGGAAATTCTTTCTGTGTGATTTTTACAGGAAAGGGAATGATCTCTCTGAATGCTCACTGTGGGCCTGTGGACTTCCTGGTGGCAACCACCAGCATTCTGTCCCCTGACCTCCTCAAGAGAGATTCTTTTGCGGATGCTCCAGACTCTGCCTGCGGAGGGGAGGATCGGAGCGACTCCTCTTCTCAGGACTCCCTGCAGCCGTCCAGCTGCTACAAAGGAGAGGAGAAGAGCAAGGGGCGTGGCGTCCTGCTGCAGTACAAGCTGCGTTCCACATCAGGTTTACCTGGATGGCCGCTAACAGCGCAGGGCGACGAGGCGTCGGACTCCTCCCTGGAGTCTTTGGAGCACAGTGTGGAGGACGGGTCTATTTATGAACTCAGCGATGACCCTGAGATGTGGGTTCGGGGTCGGTCATGTGAGCGGGATGGGGCGCGCCGAGACCGGGTTATCTCTGCAGCGGTTATATCTGGAGGGAAGGGTTTTCGTAGACTGAGGGAAGGTGCTGCAGCAGGTCATAGGACAAGTGGAGACAGTTTAGAAAATATTCTTATGGTATGGCAGCTCCCGCTGACGGTGTGATAGGGAAAATATAGACCAAGGTGATGTTTATTTATAGGATTCCACCCAGCTTAGCCTTGAGTCACCTCCATAAATTTAAAGGATTTGAATGTATGAGTGGGTGCTGCCACTGTCTAAGAGCTTGACGTTTTATCATTTAGACTCTGGAAATAAAAGGAAGCTCAGACATGCTGTTTTTGACAGGGCGCTTCCAACCCAAAAGGATCCTTCAGGATTGTAATGTCATCATCTTCTCAGCAGTGGCAGGGGTCGCCGCAGATTAGTTCCATGTCATCATTCCGATCTGCCTCCTCTTCCTGCCTTAGTTGAGGCTGATATGGCTCACTTTAACCTCATCAAAGCTGCATGAGCTCTGCCATATTGCTTTTCTGTAAAACACTTCAGTGAGAGCAGCCATGGACAGCATGCCTTGGAGAAGAGAAGCCTTTGTTGAGTCTTCCATGCTGCAGAGCTAGTAATGGGTGTCTTCTGTCTGATCCTGCGGGAGACATCTAATGTGTTCTGAGTTGGACGTCGGAGACAAACATCACATAACAAAGCATATTAGCGTCACTATGTTAGCTTTTCCTGCATTTATCTCAGCCAATGCAATGTGAACAGGTGAAACTTTTGTTTCTCAAAATTCAAATTCAGTCTGCCTGTCACTTAAAATCAGCCTTTTGTTGTGTTAGCTAGCATAAAGGAATATCCAAATAACTAACTAATTTACAACCTATAATTGCACTCTACTTAAACATTGTGGGCAACGGTGGTACAGGAGTTAAGTGCTCGTCCCCTAATTGAAAGATTGCAGGTTCGAGCCCCACTCAGTTTGTCGCTGTTGTTGTGTCCTTGGGCAAGACACTTAACCCACCTTGCCTGCTGGTGGTGGTCAGACGGACCAGTGGCGCCAGCGCTCGGCAGGCTCGCCTCTGTCAGTGCGCCCCAGATCCGGTGTGGCTACATCGTAGCTCATCCCCACCAGCGTTTGAATGTGTGTGAATGGGTGAATTGACTGATTGTGTTGTAAAGCGCCTTGGGGGGTTCCAGAACTCTAGAAGTCACTATATCAAATCCAGGCCATTTAACCCTCTGGAGGCAGGCATTGCAGATTTGCAACGTTAAAACCTACCTACCTGGTTACTCCACATATGTATTTCATGAGCACTTTTTAACTCAGAAGTACCCCTGAAGGACTTAGTTGTTTGTCCTTTTATCAAAACTTATTTTGAGCCTGAGAGGGTTAAACTGTTGGAACACTTGTGAAGAAAATGGTGGTGCACCGTTTTTAACAACGAGAAGTAAGCCACATTACAGCCACATTGAGTCGTATTTCCTGATATTTGGACATCTCTTCTCTGATTGGATAACAGCAACACAATTCTACCATTGACTTGTTTGTTTTTGCAATGTTGATGTTAACAACACAAACCTGGAGGAGTTCAGCTGTGTGGTGGAGTTACTAATGCTAATAGTTAGCTCCTACTAGCTGAGACGTTCTCTGCTGTTTCCTGGACACTAAACCAACAACAGCCTTCCTTGTCATGAGCCAAGATGGGTGAGTCCATGAATGTTAGGTGACAGTGTGACGTAGATCTGTCAGGATTTTCTAATCCTAGAGTTTCCCTTTTATCAGAAGCTAATATAGTAGATAGGTGAAGGAGATTATTTTCATGTTCAGCCTTCATAAAAACTCAAAGTGATCAACTATAATCAAAAATTGTTATTGAAAATGTTTTTTTTCCAGTGTTCCACAACTTTTTGATCAAATAAGGCTTCTCATGCCAAATTTTAGAGGATATTTCCTAAAGTACTGTAAACTCTTTAAATCTGCAACTTTTTCACAGTCATCTATCAGAAAGATGCAAATGTGCACGCAGACATGTTAATGCTCAACACAACTAAACCATTAGCTCAAAACCCAAGTCACACATCACAATATGGATTCAAACAGATGATGCAATAGGAGCTCTGCAGCTGTCTGCTGTGTGTCATCTCCTGAAACACACAGCAGCAACTTTACAAATCATTTCCAATACGATCAATCATGTTACACAGAAAAAAAGCATCCTGTTTATTACTTTCGTCTACAGCTCTAGTTAGTAAAACCATGTTTCATTCAAAATAATGCTACCACTAATATTTATGTTTTTTATTTGTAGTGATGCTGATAAACAATATGGCTGTCTTGTCATATACAGTGGTGTAAAAAAGATTTTCTCTTCTCTTTTCTGCTTTTGTTTTCATGTCTTACTTTAAAGACCAAGTTCACTCAGCTTTTCAACACCCTTGCAGTGGTCGCTAGTATACCTTGTGAGTTGGTCTCTGTGGGGAAAAAGCTCTAGCACTCCTGTTTCAGGAGCAAGACATGCGCCAAAGCAGAGGCGAGCAGAACACGGCCGAATTTCGAGTCTTATTTCCTGATATACAAACATCTTGCCTCTGATTGGCTATCAGTAACACTCTACCACTGACTCTGTTTGCTTTTCAACAATTATGTTTTATTTCCACAAATAACACAAGCCTGAAGGAGTTCTGCTATGTTGTAGACTTGCTAATGCTAACAGTTAGCTTTTAATTGCCAGGACGAGCTCTGCTCTCTTCTGGACGCTAAACCAACAACAGCCTTCCCCGTCACGAGCCAAGATGGGTGAGTCCATTAATGTTAATTTTAAACATGACGTGCTATTTACTGACTTTTCTAATCCGAGCAATTATCTATCTGCTAATAATACAGGAAATGGGGGTGGAAGACTATTTTCACATTTATCCTGCATGTGAAACTCAGAGCGACTGATAATTTTTCAAAAATAACCACCAAAAAAAAGGTTTCTAAATGCACTTGGTTCTTTAATACTTTAAATCAGTAAAAATAATAAAATAAAGAAAAATCAAATGACAAAAAAAGATAACCCGAGTAAATAAAAAAATAGTAATTTCAAGAAAAAAGTTCTACATTAATCTGGGTCTACACTATCAGTCAAGTTTTAGAACACCCCAATGTTTCCAGTTAAGTATTGCAGTTTAAGTCATTCAAGTCCAATGAATAGCTTGAAATGGTACAAAGTTAACTGGTGAACTGCCAGAGGTTAAAAAAGGTAAGGTTACTCAAAACTGAAAAATAATGTTCATTTCAGAATTATACAAAAAGGCCTTTTTCAGGAACCACAGCTGTTCTGCAGCAATTGAGGTTGATCAAGCCTTAAAAGCTGGTGCTACTAATAGGTGTTCCAACTTTTCTGGATTACTTACAACACCCTCTGTCTGCATCAAAGCAGTGTTGGAACATACTGTGGTACCATACCCTGATGAGCATCAGTTGAACAGTATTGTACTGCAGATAATGGTGTTTTGCTACAAAAATGGTGAGAAAAAGGCAATTAACAATGGAAGAGAGACAGACCATCATGACAGTTAAAAATGTAGGTATTTCCTACAGAGAAATTGCAAAGAAAGTCAATGTGTTAGTGAGTACAGTTTCCTTCACCATCAAAAGTCACTCTGGGGCAAACTCTGACAGGAAGATGTCTGGCACACCCAAAGCCGCAACTGCATCAGAGGACAAGTTTCTGAGAGCCAACAGCTTTTGTGATAGGCAGCTCACAGGACAACAGCTTCAAGCACAGCTTAATAGTGGTCGTAGTAAGCAAGTTTCAGTTTCAACTGTGAAGAGAAGACTTTGAGCTGCAGGTTTGACAGGAGGAGTTGCAGCAAGAAAGCCACTGCTAACATGTCAGAATAAGAGAATGAGGCTTGCCTGGGCCATGAAATACCACCATTGGACTACTGAAGACTGGAAGAAGGTATTATGGACTGATGAATCCAAATTTGAAATCTTCAGTTCATCATGCAGGATCTTCGTACGCCGTCGAGTAGGCGAAAGGATGGTTCCACAATGTGTGACATCAACTGTCAAACAATGAGGAGGAAGTGTGATGGTCTGGGGCATTTTTGCTGGATCCAGGGTCGGTAGTTTGTACAGAGTGAGATGCACCCTGAACCAGAACGGCTACCACAGCACTCTGCAGCACCATGCAGTACCATCTGCTTTGCACCTAGTTGGTTGATAATGACCCAATACATAAGTCCAAGCTATGCCAGAACTACCTCAGGAAAAAAGAACAAGATGGTGAACATGGAGTGGCCAGCACAGTCTGCAGACTTAAACCCCATGGAGCTGGTTTGGGATGAACTGGACAGAAGAGTGAAGGCAAAGCAACCTACAAGTGTCACACATTTAAGGGAACTTCTGCAACAGATATGGAAGAACTTTCTGAAGAATATTTAATTTGTATGGTAGAAAGAATGCCACGAGTGTGTTCAGCTGTTGTATCTGCCAAAGGTGGCTACTTTGATGAGTCAAAAGTTTAGAATACATTTTGGTCTATAAATTGATTCCATGACTTCTTTTTTTAACTCCAATTGCTTATTTGTACTATGCTTTCATTTCAGAGTAAAATGTGACATTAAACTGCATCATTTCCAAAAAAAAAACTGGAAAAATTGGGGCGTTCTAAAACTTCTGACCAGTAGCGTATATTAATGAGTAAGTGACCACTCTTTATGACAAATGTGTTGCGTCACTGTGGAGGGCTGTTGAGCACGTTTCTTGTTTTACGTTCAGCCCCATCAGAGAGAATTTCAGAAATAAAACCAGTTTAAAGCCCAACCACAAGGCCAGCCTTTGATTTGTCTATTAAAAAAAAAGTTTTCTTTCATTCTAATTAGATTCTTTTGGACATGTTGATGTGCTCTGGATCAGTGTTCTGCTGCTTCAAACCGTGAGCTCAAAGTGATTTTCTGGTAGATAGGTGAATTCATGGTTCTATCAATTACAGGAAGTCGTCCAGATCCTGAAGTAGCAAATCACCACCAGACCATCACACTTCCACCACCATGTTTGATGGTTGGTGTGATGTTCTTCTTAGCTTTACTCTGACCCATACAGGAACAAGGCCTTCCAAAAACTTCCACTTTTCTTATATCAATTCACGGGACTCTTTTCTAAATGGTCCAGGTACTGTCTATGTTTATTTGTTTAATGTGAGACAGGACTTTGAGGATTTTTGGTCTTTTTTTCTGTGATGTGTTGCTTTTTGAGATTTTGTGGCATACTTCATCTAATCAGACATGTTCTATAAAATTTCTTTTTTCAACAAATCTGGTAAAAAAAAAGGTCTAGTTGTGGCCACTGAGTGTGAACTTAGCTTTTCTAAAAATGTTATTAAACACTGTTAATTTGTGAGTAAAAAGGGGGTAGGGTCCCTTTTTCACATCGATCCAGGTTAGCTTGAATATTTTCTGTCATTCTGCATCCGTGTCAGTCGTGTCCTTCAACAAGACTTCTTGCCTGCTGTTGGTGATTTAAGGGCAGCTGTGACCACAATGTAGCTCATCACTACTAGAGTGGGAATGATGCCCCTCACTTGGAAAAGTGCTACACAAACGTGGAACTAAATCAGTGTTGTAAAACTTTCCTTTTTTACTTACCTGTGATGTCTTTGCCTGATACTGACGTGCTAATCTGAGTGGGAAATACTTTTTCACAGCTCATTTGATTTTGTTAACATGGTTCCACCATGATGTATTTTTAACCTGAACATTTTAAACCCTATTACAATAGAAGGAAAAATATGACTTATGTCACTATGTAAGGTACAGTTAATTGTGTTGTAAACTAGCAAAATAACCTTGTATGCTCCCAGAAACTAAAAGTCAAAGGTGGTATGAAAGGCACTTATTGGTACTGTGTAGAACTTTTGAAAAATTTCCTTTTGAAATGTCTTAAATGTAATTTGTGTTATTGATACCGAGCTTGTAAATCTGAACGTTTAACCCTGACATCAGATTAATTCCAGAGGTATGCACATTCTTTACAGTCTGTGGGCACAGAGTCCATGGAAGTGGGACTTTCTCGCTGCGAGGAACAAAGCTTTGTGGATTTTTAATAAACCATTAATGGTCACAGTTATGGTATATTGATTTTTTCCCCTCCTTCAAGTCTGCTTCTACCATGGATGTATTAAATATGCTTCAGGTTTGTGTTTTGCATTAGATGAGTAGAGGTGAAAAGTTAAATTAAAGAAGTGGATGTTAAGTGCATAAAAGGAAATAAATCAACACCACAAACTGTGATGCAAGGTAAGAAAAAAACAATATAAAAAATATATAGCATGATACTTGGAGCACCCTGAGGTCCTTTTCTCTTCTCTTTTCTTCATTACATTCAGGTAAAATAATGAAACCCGTCCTTGGATGATATCAATGGCACATCAGGCATGTTTATATTAAATTCAGTGAGGTTCTGTGCTGCTAAGAGTCACAATGCCATCCTGGTTGTATATGGGTGTTGTTTTTTTCTCCTTCCTTTGAGGAAAGGACACATGTGACGCATCACTGTAAAACTGGCTGCCATGTTTAGTGTTTATTTCTGCCTAAATCATCTCATAACTTCTACAACACGTGTGGATAATATTTAGCATCAGTTGCTAAATCTTTCATCTATTTTATTTTAGGTATTACCCTCAGTAAAAGGTGTTCATCATTAGCCAAATAAGTTACTGCCTTGAAAATACTGTAATACTTGTTTGGTTGGTAACTAAATAAACTCGTGACTCATGGATTTTTTGTATTCTATTATCTAAGTATGGATACATATTATTCTGGAAGATGTTGGTGGAGTGGGCGTAGAGAGTAGAAAAGTCCAGCAGGATGTGATATTAGACCGACAGCTCAAAATGTAATTAAAGGTGTGGATTACATTTGCAGCACTCTCTAGTAGGACTGAAAGACTTGAAGGCAGAACGCAGGGCACAAAAAAGCCCACACACTCCTGGCCTAGCAGCAGGGGTGGACTAGCCTATCTGGCATTCTGGCACTGTCCAGGTGGGCCGCTTAGCCAAGTGAGCTGCTTGCCCAGCTTGGGCCGACACTACTCCACAGTTGGTGACCTGCACAACATTAGCTACATGTTAACCGGACGCTAACAGAGTTTTTTCAGGCATTTTTAGCAAGAAAAATGCAGTAGAGCGATGATGTAGAAGTTGTTTTACTGCGTTCGCATGTAGCTAATGTCCCGCTGATCTCCACCCGTGGAGAATGAGCTGATCTGGAAGGCCAGGGTTCCCGGTCGCAGCGGTCTGGTCCTGCTTGTAATTTAATAGTCCCAGTCCATATTAGATCTCACATTCGGCCTAGAGACGAGTCCGCGGGCGACAACACCCCCTTGCCCCACCGCTCTCTCAATGGGGAGGGCCGACTTAGGGCTGATAGTTCGTAAAAATGCCAGGGCCGAATTTTGATCCCAGTCTACCCTGCCCAGCAGGACCAGTCTGCAACATCAGAGCCGTGTTTCAAACGGGAGGATCTGTCCCCTAATATTCCTTCAGCATGAGATGCTGGAGGTGTGGCATGAAAGCTTGTGAAGAGAAAATGTGTTAGAGCAGGCAGCCCTGCACCTGCCTTCCTTGTGAGTCAACATGGATAAGGCCAATTCACAACGTGACATGGATCTGTTAGGATTTTCAAATCCCAGATTTTCACAGTCTATTTTTTATCAGAAGCTAATGCAACAGACTGGTGTAGGAGACTATATTCATGTTCGGCCTGCATTTAAAACTCAGAGTAACTGATTCTAATCAGAAACAATTATTTAAAAATGTATTTTCAGTCAACCACACCCTCAAAGAGGTCCTTTATTCATAATTTTAATACAATTACAGTGGTCTAGTAGGAATGAATGCCTTGTAAATCGTACTCTGGGGCAAATCAGTTCAGAAGTGCTTGTTTAAGCATGGAGAAGTCAGCCAGAGGAGAAAGTAGCTTCTGAGGAGAAGAAGTCTTATTTCCTGATGTTTGGACATCTCTCCTCGAATTATATTTCATTTTTTATTTATTTATTTAAGGACAGTGCACATTTAATCAACATTTCTGTAAATGTGCCAGTGTTAGCCAGCAGTCTAACAATTGGATAACAGCAATATAACTACTACTGACTTGCAACGTTGATGTTTTTTATCCACAAAAATAAATTATGAATGACCCGCACTTGTATAGCGTCTCTCAGAGTAAGGAGTCCATAGTGCTTTACACTACAGTGTACAGTGTAAAAACACCAGCCAGGAGGAACTTCTGGCGTGTGGTGAAGATGCTAATGATAATGGTTAGCTGAAACTAGTTGACGCGTTCTGCTATTTCCTGGATGCTAAACCAACAACAGAATAAAGATGCTTCCTCTAGATAATCAGAGAAAAGAGTGTTTTGTCCCATTTTTCTGCCTAAACATTTCCTCAGGTGGAGCGTTAGCAGCTTATGTTTCTTCTGGCACGCTCCCTTGCAGGCATACAGATGGGATCGTTACGAGCAGCTCAAACTGCAGGTGGAAACCATTTCCGAGTTTGCTCTTTGGCTCATCCAGTCTGCACCTGTCTCCGTGTCTGTCCCTCTCTTTCTGCTTCTCTCCTTCTGTCTCCATACGTGTATCAAAAGCATACAAGATGCAAACCAACTAGGTGTTAAAGTAAAAAATAAATAAATAAATAACAAGACAAAGTGCATTTTCTTCATGACCAATTGTCAGATCATTAAGCGCTTTGCCTTTTGACCCTTCAGTATTATTAACACTGGATTTACTGGAAAAATTTTATTCCTCCTGCAAGCCTGAGCTCCTGCAGAGCTCATCTTTAGTTGCGCTGATGGCCCATTAACTGAAATGTACCATTACACATTGCCACATTTGCATTTGCCAGTTGGGGGAAGATTGTTTTGAGGGAAGCTAATTTCTGAGTTTCAATGTGCCAATCAATGTAATGAATAGATGTTTTTTAGATGTCTTTGCCAGGTGAATAGATGTTTTTGCCTCAGTGTGTGACGGGTGGTAGTCGAGGGCGGGGACCTTGGTGGTCTGATCCTCGGCTACAGAAGCTGGCTCTTGGCACATGGAATGTCACCTCTCTGGTGGGGAAGGAGCCTGAGTTTGTGTGTAAGGTTGAGAGGTTCCGAGTAGATATAGTCGGACTCACCTCAATGCATGGCTCTGGCTCTGGAACCAGTTTCCTTGAGAGGGGTTGGACTTTTTACCACTCTGGAGTTGCTCCCACTGAGAGGCGCCGAGTAGGGGTGGGCATACTAGTTGCCCCCCATTTTGGTGCCTGTACGTTGGGGTTTACCCCAGTGAATCAGAGGGTAGCCTCCCTCCGCCTATGTGTGGATGGTTGGGTTCTGACTGTGGTTTGTGCTTATGCACCAAACTACAGTTCAGACCACCCACCCTTTTTGGAGACCTTAGAGGGGGTGCTGGGGAGTGCTACTTCCGGTGACTCCCTCATTCTGCTGGGGGACTTTAACGCTCTCGTGGGCAACAACAGTGAGGCCTGGAGAGGTGTGGTTGTGAGGAACAGCCCCCCTGATCTGAATTTGAGTGGTGTTTTGTTATTGGACTTCTGTGCCGGTCATGGATTGTCCATAATGAACACCATGTTCAGACATAAAGGTGTCCATATGTGCTCTTGGCACCAGGATACCTTAGGCCGCAGCTCGATGATCGACTGTTTCATCTGACCTGTGGCCGCATGTCTTGGACACTCGGGTGAAGAGAGGGGCGGAGCTGTCAACTGACCACTACTTGGTGGTGAGTTGGCTCAGATGGTGGGGGAGGATGAAGGTCAGACCAGGCAGGCCCAAACGTATCACGAGGGTCTGCTGGGAACGTCTGACAGAGTCTCCTGTCAGAAGGAGCTTCAATTTCCACCTCTGACAGAACTTCCAAAATGTTCTGGGGAAGGCAGGGGCCAATGAGTCTGAATGCACCCTGTTCAGTGCCTCCATTGTTGAGGCGGCCGACCGGAGCTGTGGTCGCAGGATCGTCGGTGCCTGTCGTGGTGGCAACCCCTGAACCCGCTGGTGGACACCGGCGGTTAGGGATGCTGTCAAGCTGAAGAAAGAGTCCTATCAGGACATTTTGGCCTGTGGGACTCCAGAGGCAGCTGACTGGTACTGGCAGTCCTAGCGAAACGCGGCCAGGGTGGTCGCCGAGGCAAAAACTCGGGCATGGGAGGAGTTCGGTGAGACCAAGGAGCAAGATTTCCATATGGCTTTGAGGAGATTCTGGTCCACCATCTCCGCCTCAGTGGGGGAAAGCAGTGCGCTACCAATACTATCTATAGTGGGGACGGTGTGCTGCTACCCTCTACTCAGGACGTGGATCGGTGGGCAGAATACTTCGAAGACCTCCTCAATCCCACCGACACGTCTTCCAGTGAGGAAGCAGAGTCTGGCAGACTGGGGTGGTGGTCCCCTTATTTAAAAAGGGGCACCGCAGGGTGTGTTCCAATTACAGGGGGATAGCACTCCTGAGCCTTCCTGGTAAGGTCTATTCAGGGGTTCTGGAGAGGAGGATCCGTCGGATTGTTGAACCTCAGATTCAATCAATCAATCAAATCAAAGATACTTTATTAATCCCAGAGGGAAATTAAAGTTTCAGTATACAATTCAGAGACTAGACATACATGGTCAAGACACATGTCAAGAATTGGTGACTGTAGTCATTCGCAACCCTGAGTCGCGCTACCTTAATAGAAATAAGAGGGTTACATGAGGATTTGTTCAGGTGGAGGGAAAAAAGGCACTTCAGAGCTACCCTCCACCAGGAGGGCAGCTTTGCTCTGCAAAAAAAAAAAAAAACACCTCAGACAGATATGCAACAGACTTCAGACAACACAACATAAGTGTCCACTAGGTGGGGAGGTGGGTTGGGACTATCCCCACTTCAGTTCCTGCAGTCACGATAAGCAGCGCATGTCCCGTCGGTGTGGATAGGGGGAGGAGCATTGAGGGTTGGAGGGTGCAGTGACCCTGGAACTTTTCAGTGGCCTTCCCGCAGTCCCGCCCAGGCTGGGAAAGGAGACAGAGTTAAGTTGAAATAGCGACGGCACATTCCACATATCTAGGGGGAAGTTTTCGTTGGAGCCTTGCAGGCTCAAGGGTGCCAGATTCCAATTAGAAATTGTTTTCGGGCCAAACAGAGATAATTTCCTCAGAGATAATTTCCTCTCTGTCTTACAGTTTGTTGGTCCTCAACCTCTCAAAATCCAAATAATGGACATTAATCTATCCCAATCCGTGCTGATTTGTCCACTCTCTCCTTGATGGCATCCATCTTTTGTGCCAATGAATGAATCTCGGCCAAAGTCCCAAGCTTACGATTCATCTCGACAATTATGTGAGTCCGTGAATTCACAGCGCGGTGCAAACCATCTCTGAGCTCCAGTATCAGGCCAATATTCCTCGACAGCTCGTTAATTTTCCGGTAAGCCAGGTAGCCTCTAAGGCCAATGATCAGGAAACCTGACACCAACACCATGAATATCCACACATCTTCAGAGTCCTTTACAGACAGCTGAGATAGACAAATCAAGTTCCACTGTTTCCAGGAGTCCATGATGTGTCCAACTGGGTCTGTCCCGGCGGGGCATCTGGGAGCCCCTTCTCCCGTTCTCATCGTTGAAAAAAATGTATCAATCGCATTGAGACCAACTGACGAGATCCATTTTAGTGAATTTCAGTTTCCAATTTCCAGAAAAATGCAGTAGCAGCCGTGCACCCAGCACACTCAGACAAAGGG